GTCTCAAAAGTTGAGTTTAATTTGGGATCATAAAATTTGTAGTCCCTAGAATAACTAATAAAGTAGCTGCTCACTATTCGGGAGTCCAATCTCTTTTCATTTGGCCTATAAGGAATTGCCTCGACTGGACATCCCCATATGTGAAAATGGTCTAAGCTAGGTTGTTTCCCAGTCCAAAGCTCATAAGGTGTTTTGGCAGATTCCTTGGTTGGCAATCTATTTAGAATGTAGGCTGCAATATTTAGTGTCTCTCCTCAGTAATTATGGCAAGGTAAAATGATAAATCATACTCCTTACCATATCTTTAAGAGTCTGGTTTTGTATTGAGCTACATCATTCATGCTAGGTGATCTTAGCATGGTGTACTGTGGGACGATTCTACATTCCTCTAGGTATTTGGAAAAAATGGCACATATGTTATTTACCTTAACCATCATATATGTCGTAATATTCACCGCCACAGTCAGATTTGAACACATCCAATGATTGAGACTTTTCATTTATAAGAAATATGTATGCATATCTAGAATAATCTTATTGAATGATATAAAATATTGTTGAGCTTTTAAAGAAGGTGTAGGAAATGGTCCACAGATGTCTGTATGTATCAATTCTAAGACATCTGTAACTAGATATGCACCAAATTTCTATGTTCTGTCTATTTACCTTTAATGAATTCAAAATAAACATCAAAGTTTGTGAAGTTAACAAAATCAAAAATTCCATCTGACATTAGTCGTTCAACTCATTTCTTAGAGATGTGACCTAAGCATTTGTGCCATAATGCTCATGATTGTTATTATCAATTTTACACTTAGTACCACGTGATTCCACATTTAAGGATTCACCATAGATAGCTAACATGTCCAACAAACATATATTATCATGACCAATAAGTGAACTAGTTCCAACAATAACTAAATTGAAATACAACTTAAACTCATTGTTTCCAAATGAATATAAATAACCTGTTTTTTTCAAATAAGAAATCAAAATTCAATTTCGTCCAATGAAGGTACACAAAATTGTCTTTTAGAACCAAATAAAATCCAATATACAGTAATAATCTAAAATTCAATATAACTACCACCTCCACCAACTTGCCATCTCTAACATAGATGTATCTTTCAATATCATTTGGCTTCCAATAATTCAAGCAACCCCTCATTGAAATACTGATGTTAGTAGTTGCACCAGAGTCTCACCACCAAGTGTTTCTAGGTACTTAAACTAAATTGACCTCAGAACAGACCAAAGCATTTACAACTTCATTCTTAGGCTCATAAGTTTTCTTTCTTTTGCCCTTGTACTTAGAGGTGCTAACAAACTGAGCATTTTATGTCTTATCTTGCTTCAATCTTTCCTCTTCTCGTACACAAAATGAAATGAGCTCATTAAGAGACCATTTATCCTTTTGGCAGCTATAAGATATCTTAAATTGATTGAATTTTGAAGGAATAGAAAGTAATACTAAATGAATATGAAAGTCTTCTGAAAGCTCAAGCTTTAGTGCGTTATGTTTTGAAACAATGTTAGACATGCTCATAATGTACTCCCTTATATTTCCTTTGCCTTGATACTTCATGGAAATCAAGTTCTGAAGAAGACTTATTCTTTCTGCCTTTTCCCTTTTTGCAAAGTGCTTTTTAATCTCAACAAGGAAATATTTATCTCTTTCGAGACAGTACTCTTAAAGACCTTGAAAATGTCGCACTTAATAATCTTAAGACTCATGCAATTGGATCTATCCCACTTCTCGTATTATGTCCTCTATTCAGAGGTACTAGAATTCATAAAAAAAGGTGGTTGATTATTCTTTAGTGTAAGGTCGAGATCCATGCAACCAAGAACAATTTGCATGTTCTCTTTCCATCCTTAAAATTAGTCCCATTAAGAATCGAAACAAAACTCAAATTAGCTGATATTGATGCAATTAAAGCTGAAAACATAACAAAAATAAATACCATAAATATACTCACAACAACAAAAATAAACTAAATTTTTAGTATGTTTAAATTATAGCATAATCTATCTCAAGATACCTAGTGCACCATGAATATCAAGTCTTTGGAAAATAATATTGACTGCTAGTGGTACTTTTGTTGCAATGATCAAACATTGATAATAAAAACAAGTCAAATAATAAACTCGTCTATGGATTGATTTATCATTCACATGTGAAACCTTATAATTATCACATGTTTACCATCACATGTATGTATGAAATTCAACCAAACATCAATTGTTCTTTGGATCAATTGACACTCGCATGGATAGACACACAAAATAAATAAATAAATTATTTAACATTTCTCATGAGTAATCTTCATAAAAGATGTCCCTTTGATAAATTTTCATTTTAATCAACTCATTTGAATTGTTAAATTATTGTACAAAATATAATCCATAGCCAAATTTGAACAAAAAAAAACAAAAAAACCCAAAAAAATCGGATAGGGTGGCAGTCTGGTTGTGACGGTCGTCACACGTTACTAAACATTGGGGACCGTATGTCATCCAACGATGATGGTCGTCATCTGGAAGGGGTGTCTTGCCGTTATAGCCATGACGGGCGTCACCAAAATTAAGGGTTACCCGACAACCAACATTAACGATCATCAGCAAGGCCAACCCCAACATTAGAGTTACGGTGCGTGATGGTCAGCCTGTCACTAAGGGTGACACCCTTCATAGAGACCGAACGTGACAGTTAGCTTGACACCGTGGATGACGGCTGTCACGATGCATAAACTCCATTTATTCGCAAAGCAACAACATATTCACATGTTTTCCCAAAATTTGCCAAATTTTATCAGCATTCAACTCAAAACGATGAAACAAAAACAAAAACATTATTTAAAGCATAAAACATAAACTTTAGACAAATTGAAAGATCTTTAGGGATCCCAATTTTACACCCCTAAAATAAAAAATAATCCCAGAATTAAATTGAATCAAATATGGGTGGCTCTGATAGTACTTGTTGGATCCGTTCATAACCTTATGATATCTACTCATATAAATATCAATAACAAAACTCTAAAATGATTCATATGAGGATAACCCATTAACTCATATCCCTTAAATCCATACCGAAATTCAATCAGACAATGAAAGCGAAAACTTACTTGTATTTATCTTTGGGATTCCCTCAGGTTCGTGGGTATGTAATCTTCTGATTTCTAGAGATGCTTAGGATTCCTTGAATCTCTTCTGATGTGGATAGAGAGAGAATTTCGATGAACTGAATTTTGCTGCATACTCTACAAGTAGGGAGCATGATCCATATAAATAACCTTCAGGGAGGATTATTTCTTAATTTTTAATATTTTAATTTGGTCTCTCATCAAATTAGAATTGATTTATGGTATATACACAATAACCTTAGATTTATTTTTTAGTCACATATTTACTTAATATTACTTAGACCCCTTTAAATCTCAACTAATTAAACAATAATCTTAACACCTTAATTGTTATATTTGTGATATAAAATACATATTTCATTAAACATTTTCATTTTATAATTGAGAAATTCTTGATGTTTTCTATTAATGCATATTACATCAAATGTTAAATAATATTATAATATTATTATATATTTATATTATATTGTTTGTTCTATAAATTTTTATTAATCTAATGAAAGCCAAACATTTTTCTCATTCCTTTCTTCTTTCTCTTTTGTTAACAAATATAACTATATTCAAAGATGAACCTAAGTCAATCTTGATAACCGAAAACTACATAATTACAATGCTTCTAAATTGGCCAATGCATGCTAACCAAGTAAATAAAAGAATTCTTTAACTTTAAATATTTTATAAGTTGTGCCGCATGACAAAAATTATTGTTTGACAATGCACAACTAACGGCTAACCATATTCTAACATCCGTACACTATTTATTAGAAACAAAACAATAAAAAAGTAAATGTTTCATGCATATTATATCCCTTCATACACAAATCAAATATAGACATACTAAATTTCTAAAAGTAAGAATTAGACAGTATCATACTTTTATTATTATTATATTAAAAAGTAAGAATTATTTTTATTTTAAAACAACTTTTTTTGAACAATAATTATTTTGAAACAAAATATAGTAATATCTACTGTATCATACTTTATCCTATGCATTATACGAAAATTTAAAAACCTATAAAAAATAACGTGAAAAAGAAATGAAAAAAGAAGACGAAGAATTAGACAAAATAAATATGTGTCAGCATCGAACACTATAAAAGGCTACCTATTGGACCTCTAAGTTATTGCCTGTCTACATTACTTACCATTCTAGGCCGATCCCTACGAAGCACCAATATTCAATCAATCACCCGTTTTTATACCTAAAAGATTGCATATCTATAATTACCCATTTTTGTCTTTATGCCCAAAGATTAAAAAAATACCCTCGTGATCCTTTCCCTTTTTCCTCCAAATAAAATACATCACGTCAACTCAATAATACTCTTTATTTTAAATCATTCTTAAAACACTCTTTTGCCTTTATAGTTGAATGGAGTGCTAAAAAATAAATAAGGAAATAAAACTCTTAATATCATGATAAAAATAATTAATCTCATATTTTTATTAAAGTATCTACTATGATAAAAATAATAATAATAAAAAAGTATGATTGAAAAAAATAAAATAATTTATATTATAAAAAATTCTTGTCACGTAGCTCACTTCAACATCATTGATTCATCCTTGTCTCTGTCTTTACTATTACTCCTATCACAGAAAAAAAATTCCAATAACCATTCATCATCACAAATTTTCCACGTTATCACCAATCCCACCGTTAGATTCTCTTCTTTTCTCGATCTAACCGTCAACTCTTCCAAAACTCATTTCCTCAAAAGTCCTTTTCCAAACCTCGTCTTCCTTCACTCTCCATTCTCACCGCATCAACTTTCAACAAAATAAGCTGTGTTCGGATATCACTTTCAAAAACCATTCAAATGCAGTGAGAGAGAAACAAATCGATTATTCATGGCTTTTCACGACCATCTCCAACAGGAAATAGCGTTCCAGCGATTCACAGATGAAGAAGACGAAGATAGAGTTCCATGGATGAACAACAGCGTAAACGCGCGTCAACAGAATTTCATGCACTTGGAACCGGAGAGGAGAGAGAAAAGCATGGATCGGAACCGGAGCGAGAGCAATTGCGAAACGGAGGAGTTAAGAGAATACAAAGCGGAGATATTAGGTCATCCGCTTTACGATCAGTTGTTATCGGCTCATGTTTCGTGTCTCCGGATTGCGACTCCGGTGGACCAGCTTCCGAGAATCGATGCTCAGCTTCAACAATCGCAGCGCGTTCTTCAGAAATACTCTTCCATTGGAATTGGAAACATGGATCCCAAGGAGCTTGATCACTTTATGGTAATTCTTTTCTTCCTTTAAACCCTCTCTCTCTACCTCTTTTTCTAAAACGAAAATTAGTGAGATTAATAACTAATTTTGTTTATTAATTTGATATGTCAAATATTAACCTCTAAATTTATGGCTCCATTTCATAATTTTTCAAGTGTTTATTAAATTACTAATTGTGTATTTTCTTAAATCTACTTCTTATAGTTAAAATATTCTTAGTTGAGTTCCAAGTGTTTGTTTCTTTGACTCACTGAGCTCCCAACCTTTCTTTTCTGGTTGTTTGGACATTATTTTATTAAATTAATTTATACTATATTTCATTCATTGGTGTATTTTTATTTGTCTATGTATCTATCAACTTACATATTTTTATGATATTTTAAAATAAAAAAAATGAAGATATTTTAATAAATAAAGAGTTAATATAAAAGAAAAGTTGTGATTAATTGGATATGCATATAGATATAGAAGTTTTATGCTATCTGTCTATACTCTATACATAGAAATAATTTTTCATTTTTGTATTTCACTGTTTTGTCAATTTCTCTAATATATACATTAGATGCTTAACTGATGCTTTTACATAAAAACCAGCAATACAATCTAATAATTTATATTTTTCAAGACACTTTTTTTATTAATTAATTTTACTATAATAATGAAAATTGTATCAAAAGATCTCTCATTGATTTTACTATAATAATAATCGATGCAATCTCTAATTGATTTCAAACCTATTTGTTTATTTTTTCTTTCTGCTTTGGATTGGATCTATTATTTTAATTTTTGTGGAGTTTGAGGTTTAAAGAACAGCATCTATCTAGTACAGCTAGAAGATTGTGAAATTTATATTATTAAAATATAAACAACTCATTTACAAAAAGAATAATAACGAAGATAATAGTAGGAAAAATAGTGATTTTTCAAATTTTATTATTTTTTATGGACAGCAGTACGAGGCATTTGGGTGAAAGAGATTTGTCTTGGAGTGTGGCTAGTTTCAATTTAAGGGTTATTATCGTGATACTAGACTCACTTCAATAATGCTACAAAGCATTTAGGAGAATCTTTCTTTCTGTTAATCTTGTCCCACTTGTTTGGGTGTGTTCACTACTTTTCCCTTTTTCTTCTGAAACTTTCATCATGATTAGTTTTTGAATTCTTTAGAATATTTTCTGAAACCAAACTTGAATACACTGTTTTTTCTCAACCTTTACACTCCATAATGTACGTTTCTGAAGCTTCACCAAGTACAATCATGAGACACCACAACCGTGATGTTGGTGTGGTATCAACCGTATATTGGTCTAAAAAATTGATTATTTTCAACACTGTATTACATATTTTAATATATTAAATAACAGTACTCATATTCAAATTCAAACAATGATAAGAGAGAGACAAATATAGTATTAATTTGTGCATGATTTACCCTTTCATTAATGAGCTCATCATTTTATCATGTTGACCTATTTTGCAATTGTGTTTTAAAAATAACTACTCTTATCTTATCACATATATACTGTATTTTATTAGTATGGATTCGTGGGTTTTATCTTCTCTTTTTGTTGCTGTATCTTAAGTAAACATGTTATGAATTGTTTATATTAAGCTCATGTTTTACTTTTGATCCTTTGTTAATTTGTTGTAGACGCATTATGTTCTTTTGCTGTGCGCCTTCAAAGAACAGCTGCAACAACATGTCCGTGTTCATGCCATGGAGGCAGTGATGGCTTGTTGGGATCTTGAGCAATCTCTGCAAAGCTTGACAGGTACTCTTATATCATTCATTATTCACAAAATATATATAATGTTTTTTTTAAGAAAAATGAAGAATTATTTTATTTTAACTGTAATTGAATAAGACAATTGTAAGATCAACCATATTGTGCAAGACAAAAATGTTGGACAGTGAACAATTAACGTCAAAATAAAGTAAATGTAATAAAAATAAGGATATTGTATTAAATGTGTGGTATGATTACACAAGATATCTTTAAAAATGACAATATTAGAGTGTGTTAGAATAATAAAGTATAGTAGAGAAGATGATTGAAGTTAGATTTAAATAGTTTGAACATATTGAGAGAAATTATATAGTAAAAGGAGTATTTTGGTGGATTTTTCATCTAATGATTAAATATTATTTTGTCATTAAAAAAAATATAATGAAGAAAGATCTAAAAATCATCGAGTTGAATAAAAACATGATTCTTATAAAATTTAATGATATAGTTTGATCCATAGAAACGACTACCCTCAATGGAAAAGAAGTTTGGTTGTTAGTTGTTATTGAATAAAGTACCAAGTTTTATAAGTCCGTTATGTGAAAAAATTGTTGTTAAAAGGTAATTTATTCACAAATATCTACCCTTAATTATATATTAATTAAATTTGAACTTTTAATTCTTAAACTTATACTTCGTAGTATATATCAATCAACTTACTAGTATTACCTTTTTCTCAAGAAACATTATGTGTAATGGACATTTATAAATATTAATAAAATTATAAATTTTGATTATAAATAATAAATATTGATTTTTTTAGTATTACTAATTAGTTTTGAGAATATTTAAATTAATTTCTCTTTAAATATAATTTCATAAGAGACTTGCTTATTATATTTTATACTAGAAATATATGAATCTTGTAGTCTGCTGTAAAATGTTTCAAAACTGTACCACATATGTTCAAAAAAGATGGTTGTGCTTAAGATTAATGAAATTTTGATGCATTAATTGAGCAGGTGTATCGTCGGGTGAAGGAACGGGAGCAACCATGTCAGACGATGAAGATGAGCAGACAGAAAGTAATGCCAAGTTGTACAACGAAGGAAGCAGCCTTGATGGCATTGATACTCTTGGCTTTGGTCCTCTTGTCCCCACTGAGACTGAAAGGTCTTTGATGGAGCGTGTTAGGCTTGAACTCAAGCATGAGCTAAAACAGGTAGTTATATACATACATGAGTCAAAATATAAAAAGACTCTTTGACGTTCTCCAAAACACTCACTCCCTCAAAGATACTAACAATATACATAGAGGCTAAAGCCAAAACAACCTCTCTACCCAACCACCTAAAGACTCTATACTATATAGCAGCAGCTACGAACCCGCACTTGGCGAACAAATGATCAACACTTTTCACCTTGTTCACACAAAAGACACATGATGTTACATTAGAGTCAACAATAATCTATAACTAAAACAATCAATCGAGACCGGACCATGTCTTGAAGAGGTTGTAAAGGGTCCAACTCCTCTGCAACTGGTCAACACTTGGATCAACCTATCCAATCTAGAGTCCTAGTTAGAAGAAGACACAACAAGAGTCTCATAAGCGTACCCATATGAGAACACGCTTAAAATATCCAAACATACAATATAACTATGATGAGTATAAGCAGTTTAATTTTGTTGGATCAGTAATACACAATTTCTAACTAAAATCTCTATCTGCAGGGTTACAAGGAGAAAATTGTTGATGTAAGAGAAGAAATTTTACGAAAGAGAAGAGCTGGGAAGCTCCCGGGAGACACCACATCACTTCTGAAAGCTTGGTGGCAATCACATTCTAAATGGCCCTATCCTACTGTATGCTCTCATCAATATTAATATCCATACATTATACATATATCTCTATGTTGCCTCTTCTCATGCTTTGTGTTGTTTTGTATAAATAGGAGGAAGACAAAGCTAGACTGGTGCAGGAAACAGGCTTGCAATTAAAGCAGATAAACAATTGGTTCATCAATCAAAGGAAAAGGAATTGGCATGCTAACTCTCCATCCTCTAGTAACTCCAAAACCAAGCGCAAGAGGTATTACCAATTTATGAGCATATATTGCATAAATGATACATTGATTTAAAAGCAAAGTTGTAAATGAAATATAGTTAAATGGTATTAAAAAAAATCCTAAAGTTTTATTATTTTTTTATGATAACAGTGCAGGCGATACCAGTAATCAGAGCTTCATGTGAATAATATATTCACATACTTTATATTTTGAGCAAAGAAACTATTGGTTTTCTTCTTCATTTCATGTTATCCGTACGTAAAAGTGGACGTGAAATTGAAGTAACAGAATATGGAGTAGAAAGAAAATTTGTGTTGAAATCGTTGTAAAGAAATAGTGTTTGTTTAAGAAAAATGCTACTGAATGCTATTCAATATATATATATATTGGTTAAAATAACAAATATAGAAAAATGTGTTGAAAAATGACGTGTTCAATTTCTAAAAATTTAAAAATTATTTTCAATATAAATTTTTTATTTTTCTTAACTTGTGTCATTGAAGTTTGAGGATTTGTTTAATTACATAAAACCCTTGCATTGTTGTATAAGGCACTACTATCTATTAGATTAATTTGTAGTACGATGTTGCATATATGTATTTCTTTATTTGAAAAAAAATAGATAGACAATGAATGTAAAAAACATTATATTTTGTAAATATAGAGGGGTAAGGTTAGAGTTTGTAAATATAGAGAAGGTAATAACAGAGGGGGTTTTCTATGAAATGACATCGGAATGAGGTTTGAACCAAGCTTGTTTATAGTTTATAAATTAAATTGAATCGAATCATATTTATAATTTTATTTAATTTATAATAATTATTTTAATAAAATTCAATTAATTATTAAAATCGTTTTAATTTAACTTAAAATTAATTTAGAACTAATTTATAGTTATAAATTAATTTATAATTAGTTTACAATTTTAAACCAATTATATATTTTAAACTTTTTTAAAATTAAATTTTTTACTTCACAAAAATTTAAACTTTTTTATATTAAAAAAACATATTCTATAAAATATTTATTTTTAAAAAAATTATAAGATACATATTCCTTTGAAATATTTATTTTAAAAAAAAAAGCATATTCCTTTAATTTCAAATTAATAAGATACATGTGCATTCGCACGGATAAAACTATCTAATATGATAAAAAAAATATATTTAGATACATATTTTAAATTTAAAATGAGATACTTAATTATAAACGAATAATAATTATATAAACTCAATTATATTAAATAATTATATAAAAAAGTGACAGATCAGAGGAAAAAAAATATTTTTTTTTAATATTTAAAAATAAAGATTTTGTCTCTTAAATAAAAGTAATTGTTTATTAAATTAAGATAAATATTGTGTTGACATTGATCTTGTGTTGACATTGATCAATAATAAAGAAAATTAGTTGTTTGCGCGTCTATCAAGTATTATTCAATTTGATATAATACATTGTTAATTTTATTAAAATTAAAAATTAAACTATTTAGGTTTTTTAACAATAATAAATAAATAAAATTTATTAAATATATCATTAAAAAAATCGAATGTCTCCATTATATGTTTAAGAACACACTGATCATTGCTTCCATCATACCATACTTATACAAAATAGGGTTAAGAGATGATAATATTGTATGTTTGTCTAAGAACGCGCTTTAGTGTGAGAGAGAAAATGAAAGCAGAATTTAAAAAACTCTACATTTACAACTCTAAAATTCTCAAACGAAATTGACCAAATAACAGTTTGCTTTCTATTTTTTGCTTTCTGCAGAAAATCTCATCTTAAACCTTTAATTATACTTAGTTCTATAGAAAATGTCACAAAATAATTACCCCCTTAAAATTATCATATACTTTTGATTTCATTATTTTATATTACATAGAGTACATATACAAGCAATACGTTTACTAACCAATCTAAAAAAATATTGTAGATTCAGAACATGGCATATAGAGACTGAATCAGAGAAATTTTGAAGAGATTGGATCGAAACAAAAGAAAAACAATGCATTATATAAAAGAAAATAAATAATTATATATGACTAGGGGTGAAAAACAGATATGTCCACTCTGAAAAAGCCCGCAAAAACAGAGTAGGGCAGACATAATTTAAAATGATAGCTTAAAACTTAGGTCTGTCCCGTAAAAAAATGAGTGTGGGGCGGGAAAAGTCCCCAGACACTGCATCTTTTAAATTTAAAAATATAAATAATTTATATTAATGCGTGTGTCCGCAAAAGCTCGCAAAGAAAATGAGGCGCGACAGACACATTAGAAGGCGAGGGCCTGAATTCTTCGCCCGCCCCGCGCTAAAGTGCGGGCCAAACTCTTTTTGCCGCCCCTATATATGACATTATTTTTATGGTAAATTATAACTTGCATTCTGAAATCATTATTTGTGAAACCTTTTGAATTGCATTCTGAAATCATTATTTGTGAATGCTTCTTAAGCGGGACGAAAATGTTGGGTTTGGGCTCCCTTCCTATATGGAGAAAGACCCAAATATGATTAGCAAATTTTTCTCACTTATTTAAGTGGATGGGATCAAGTTAGAGTTGAGAAAGATAGAGAGATAACAAGGATTCAAATGAGAGAAAATAGGAGAGAAAGTCGTTCTTACCATCAGACCAGTCTCACTAAATCGGTGATCCCCGATTCATTTACCATCAGATCAAGCTCAAATTTAGAGGGAAGTTCTTAACACATGTATCTAACTTTTGACCGTTCATATTTTTAAAACAACGTCTGAGATGAGAGTTATCTACTTCGCACTGAAGTTGCAGATTTGAGAAATTTTCAGCTTTTTGATTTGTATTTGTAAATTAGTTTGCTTTGTGATTTGTGGTTATTAGCACTAGCTTATGAATCACATTAAGACTTTCTCATACCCTTAATTGATTATAGTGGAGTTATTTTTTTAGTCTGGACGACTCGTGGTTTTTACTCTCATATTGAGGGATTTTCCACGTTAAAATTTTAGTGTTCTTTTGTGTCTTTAATTGTTTGATTTTCCGTCTTATATTTGTTGTTGATCCTCAATGTTCCTATAAGTCATGAAAATTTTATATCCGCTGAGTATTGGTCTGTTATTGTGTCTTAATTTTCCATCAGAGTGATATCAGAGCTCTTGGTTAAGAGCTATTTTACTTGTTTGAATGATGAAGTCAAATATAAAGATGATGATGGTATTGTTGAACGGTTCTAATTACCATTTATGGAAGGGAAAAATGAAAGACTTACTACTTGTGAAGAAATTGCATTTACTGGTTTTTAGTTCTGCAAAGCCTGATTTTGTGTCTGATGAAGAATGGAGTTTGAACATCAACAGGTATATGGTTTTATTCAAAAATATGTAGAAGATAATGTTTATAATCATAATGCTAATGAGATACATGCAAAAAATTCGTGGGAGAAGATATAGTCCTTGTATGCCTCTAAATCAGGGAATAATAAATTGTTCTTTTTGAATAGCTTCATAAGTTTGAAGTATAAGGAGGGGACTTCTATTTCAAATCACTTAAGTGAATTCTAAGGGCACCTTCATCAGATGTCAAAATGAGTATCAAATTTGATGATGAACTTTTGGGACTATTTATATTGCTATCTTTACTAGATTCTTGGGAGACATTTCGGGTTTCTATCACAACTTCTGCTCCTAGAGGTGTTATTTCTTTAGAAACGGCTAATGGTGGTATTCTTAATGAGGAGATGGGAAGGAAGACACATGGTTCTTCATCTCAACCCAAGGTACTTATCACTGAAATTAGGGGGAGAAGTCATAAAAAGGAACTGAATGGTGGTAGAGAGAATAGCATAAGCAAGTCCAAGCTGCGATACAAGAATCAGGAGTGTCACTATTGTTACAAAATAAGACACATACAGAAGTATTGCTATTAGTGGAAAAGAGATAACAAAGGCAAGAAGGGTAATTCTAAACAAAGGGACCATGAAGATCATGATGATGATCGTATTACTATTGCTACTAGTGATGATCTTGTCATTCTTCATGATCATGAGTCTGTTAATCTTGTATCAGATGAGAGCATAAGGATAATTGAAAGTGGTGTTACATTGTATGTTACACCAAGGAATAATCTATTCGCATCTTATACTTCTAGTTATTTTGGAGTGTTGAATATGGGTAATGATGATGTATCTAAGGTAATTGGTGTTGGTGATGTTTGCTTGCAAACCAACATGACAATGCAATTATTGCTTTGAGGTGTCAAACATGTTCCAGATGTTGGATTTAATTTCATCTATGTGCATATGCTAGATGATTATGGGTATGATAATCATTTTGGTTCTGGAAAGTGGAAACTCAACAAAGATAACTTGGTTATGACTATAGGCGAAAAGCTTTCTAAATTATATTAGACAAAAGCTTTGGTTGTTAGGGACAACGTGAATGCTATCGACATGGAAGCATCTTTGTGGCACCAAATACTTAGTCATATTAGTGAAAAGGGGCTGAATGTTTTGGCCAAAAAGGATGCTCTTTTTGGATTAAAGAATGTAGATTTGGAGAAGTGTTCTCATTACATGGCTGGTAAATAGACTAGAGTATCTTTCAAGAGACATCCTCCCTCAAGGAATTCAATTGGTAAATTCTGATGTTTGTGATCTATTAAAGGTAAAATACTTTAATGGTGCACTTTATTTTGTTACCTTTATTAATGATTGCTCCAGGAAACTATGAGTTAATACCTTGAAGACAAAAGACCAAGTGTCGAAAATTTCAAAGAATTCTATGCTTTGGTTGAGAGACAGACATGCAAGAAGTTAAAATGTGTTCGTTTAGACAATGGCGGAAAGTATTGTGGATCATTTGATTCCTATTTTAAGCAGCATGGTATTGCACATGAAAATACTCCTCCTAAAATTCCTCAATTGAATGATTTAGTAGAGAGGATGAATCGAACACTAATTGAAAGAGTAAGATGTATGCTCTCTAAAGCTAAGTTGCCTAATCATTATTGGGGCGAGGCACTTTACACGGAAGTGCATGTTCTTAATCTCACTCCTACTGTTGCTTTGAACACTGAAGTTCCATAAAAAATTTGGTTTGGAAAGAATGTCAAGTATGATCATTTAGGAGTCTTTGATTATAAGGCTTTTGTGCATATTCCAAAGAATGAAAGATCCAAGTTGGATGCAAAGTCAAAAAAATGTTTCTT